ACCGCCAGCACTACTTCAATCTCTATCACACCACCAGCACATCATCTATAACCACCGACTTCACCTACTAACTCAATTGACTAGAATTTCATATGCATTATGAACTAGAGAGAGAAGAGAAGAAAAATAGAAGTCAATAAACTTGCGTGTATTTCGTTGAGAACCAAATCCCTATATTTATAGACTCGATTATAATTGTAAATGATACAATAGTCATAATAACTTGGAATGCAAATGTATAATCATCATTTACTAATAAACACATAATTTAAAACAATTCTTTATTTTTCCTTTTTATTTATTTAAATAGGGAGGATAAACTTGTCATTTTATAATGCTTTCACGGAGAAAATTGATTAAAAACTTGTATTGTGCAAAGTTTGAATGATTTAGGAGAGTTATGCTCCAAAATAAAAAGTTAGAGAATATTTCATTAAATAGGTGAACTTTAGGAGTATTTCACCAATTATCTTTAGCTCATGTTTGACGATTATTATTTGAAAACTCTTTTTTTACATACTCACTTTTAATCATAAATCCACACAATAAAATATTTTACACGTACATCCATTTTTTTAAATTTCTAACTAGATATATTTTTTAAAAATTACTATTTAAAATATGTTTTTGTCCAAATTATCGGACGGGGCTTATTTGACCCGACAATTCTTCTAGGAGTCAATTGTTTCAATAATCACCCAACTTATATCATGGTTACGGATTGTTCACTAAACTCTAAAGTGCTCACAGTGCTCACTGAACTTTGTTCTTTTGCACTCCGTCCACCACTCTCAAAAATTCGTTACCTTATTCGCTGACGTGGCTAATGGAAATCTGATGTGGCAAGTAACAGTCGTTAAAAAAATGACAACTCAGCCAAACCATTGTTTCATTACTCGTCCAACTTACACTTTGACAAATTTTACTCATCGAATTTCAAAATGCATCTCAATGGTCACTCATCTTTGAGATGTTGCACTCCATTCATCATACGCTATATTTTGTTCCCTTCATTCCAAATGTTCGCACGTGATAAGTTACAAATGTTAAAAAAAAATTGCAACTCAACAAAATTAATTCACCAAAATCACCATATATGAAACGTGACTTCAACAACCCCACCAACTTCTTTAAAACCCAATAAAGCGTCCACACTGATTCTTTTAAAAATATCATTTTTCTAATTCGAACGTTTATTGTGCAAAAAATAGGTTTCAATTTGAAGTTGAAACTCTGAAACATAACTTGTTTGGGGAAACATTTATCATATGTGAAACGCGAATTCCATACCTCAGAAACTTCTTTAAAATCCAATAAAGTGTCCCTTAACAAGTTATGCTTCAGAGTTTCAGCTTCAGATTGAAACCTATTTTTTCCACAGCAAACGTTCGAATTAGAAAAGTAACCATATAGCGAACATTAAGATTGAAGGGAACAAAATATAGCGGATAATGAATGTAATGCAACATCTCAAAGATGAGTGACCATTGGAAAGTATTTTGAAGTTCGATGAGTAAATTGTGACAAAGTTTAAGTTTGATAAGTAATGAAACAATGATTTGGCTGAGTTGTCATTTTTTTAACGACCGTTAGTTGTCACATCAGATTTCCGTTAGTCACGTCAGTGAATAAGGTAACAGATTTTTAAGAGTGGTGGACGTAGTGCAAACGGACAAAGTTCAGTGAGCACTGTAAAGCACTTTAAAGTTTAGTGAGCAATAGTGACCATGATATAAATTGGGTGATTATTGAGACAATTGACTCATTCTTCTAGGGTCAATGTCCCAAATTAGTGGCCTTTCGCTTTTTTTAACATTTTCTCTCTCCTGCGGAAATTTGGAAAGTGCGTGGCAGGTTCACGACGGCATCTCCCTTTATCCGTGTATCCAGCCGAGACACAACCCAAAAGAAGCATAAATTAATCATAATTAAGGCAAATTCATATCTAATTTCCCTTTTTTCGCTCGAAGATTTCTGATTAAAGTGAAACCTATATTACTTGAAGGCCATCCACTCTTACCCCGCTCGAATCGTGCGTTTGAAGGCTCCTTTCTCTGTCATTTTTTCTTGATTCGTAAGTTCCATTCTCTTCTTTTTTGACATTTTCGATGTTATGTATCTGTTTGCATCTATGGGTATACATATATTTTGTATAAGTGATTTGTAATTATGGGTTCTCGCTGATCTGTTGTGTAATCGCGATGATTTGATATCCGGCTGCAATTTTGTTTAATTGGGAGGTTAATTGAATCTTGTTGAAATTCTTTGTGGGTATTCTTTTATATTCTGATTCTGATTGGATGGATGTAAAATGGAGTTTAGAACAATTTAATTTTACACAACAATATGAATAATGATGTATTTGATTAATCAGTTCTTATAGGTGAATTTTGCCCTAATTTCTTGATCTGGTAAAATATTGTTTCACAAACATACCAGACTGATGCTTTTCCGGAGAATTTTGGGTAGTTATGCACACATTTTCTTATATTATATGCAAAGGGCATGTGGGTTTAATGCTTCTTAAAGTTATTTTTCTATGGATTTTTTGTACCAGGTAAATCCATCCATATTATAAAGACAATAGATATTGAAATATAGTTCTATGAAGAAAAAGTATGAAACAAGAATAGTAACAAGATTGATGTAATTTTAGGGCCATTGACCATCAGACTATTCTTAACAAAGCATTGCTTACCCCATCATGGCCACTGATGTGAGTACTCGGTCGTAAACTTCAGGGCCCGTGAGATTAGTCGAGGTGCTCGCAAGATGGCCTGGATATCCAAGGTTATCCAAAAGAAAAAACTAAGCATTGCTTAGATGAAGCTCTTAAAGTGTAATAACCTTTCTTTGGACTTAGAACTTTTAAGGATCCGATGATTGCTATTGTTCCTCTACAAGTCGCATGTATCATCCTACAAGATATAGTGTAAGCTAGTGTGGCCAGGCATAAATTCAGGTTTCGTGTTTATGGGGCCAATGTCGACGATATAACACATTAATTTATTAAAGAAGATTAACTCATAAAAGTTTCTGGCTTGCTGCTAGTGGGAATATTTGTCTACTCAAAATAAGCGTCAGGATTGTGTTTATTTTAACTCAAAGAAGGTCATGAACAATGAGTGTTTGCTTGACTACACATTACTTTAATACTTATGGAGATCAAGTGTGAATTTCTGGAGGAAAAACTATGCTAACTGCTATTTATTTAAGAATATATAAGAGGTGAATCGGGGATTTTTCCAAATCTATTTGGCATTCTAGCTAGCCCCAAGGTGGTATGAATCCTTTCCCTTGTATCTAGTGTAGTATGATGGTGTATTGTCTTTGGAAGATTACCAAAAAGAGATCGTTATTTTGAAGACTATTCTTGAGGATACATGGATGTGGTCATCTAATACTTAGGCTCCGTTTGGGAGCCATTGCTAACTGCTATTTATTTAAGAATATATAAGAGGTGAATCGGGGATTTTTCCAAATCTATTTGGCATTCTAGCTAGCCCCAAGGTGGTATGAATCCTTTCCCTTGTATCTAGTGTAGTATGATTGTATATTGTCTTTGGAAGATTACCAAAAAGAGATCGTTATTTTGAAGACTATTCTTGAGGATACATGGATGTGGTCATCTAATACTTATAGAACAACTTGCACTGCATAAATAACTATTTGTAGATTTCGAGCCTGGTCCTTTTGATGCTTTTATATTGTCAATCTGCCTCTATCTCATGTTGAATTTTGAGCTAGCTAAGAATTCTCTGATTTCATTCCTCATCTCACTGTCTATTGTGTCCAGTGAAGTTTGTGCTACTGGAGTAGGAAATTGTGATTTATGAGGAGTGAGGATTGCTTCTTTTTCTTCTAAGAGCTTTCGGTTATGCTTTAGAGTCTAATTTAGGTAATCACAATCAACTAATGATAACTTGTAATTCATTTCTACGTTTTGTCTTTACTCTCACCCACTCCTTGTAACAAATGATCTCCTTGTACGTGTTATTTCTATTATTGAATAAATTAAACCATATTGAATAAATCAAACCAAACATAGAAAAACTTGTAGATCTCCTAGTAGATATAGTAACTAACAGAAGGGAATGGTTAAGAAGGATTCATGTAGCCGACTTCAAATGTATTTGTTGAGATTTGAGAATAATGCTTAGTTTCTTGTTGTATAAACCACTTGATTTTCAGTCTTGATAGTTTCTCATATAACTCATGTTTATTATTTTTCATTCGTTTGATCAATTTATCAAATTCAGCATGTTGTCGCTTCTAGCAAACAACACTACATTATTGCGTTGTGATATCTTGGCAAATGTGATATTTGGACTTGTCTACTTTAGTAACTGCATTAAGGGATTGTTTGACATGACTTTTGCATTTGCTTCCTTAGAAAGTTACTTTAATTTTTGTTTCAAAACTAATTTTTAAAAGAGCTTCATATTTCGGAAGTGCTTTTAGATGAAACTATATTAGACCAACTTCCTCTAAAAATTTTTCTAATTAGAAGAAATACTTTCATAAAATTAACCAAATGAATCCAAAAGCAGGTTTTGGGTCTTAAAAGCCATGCCAAATGGGCTCTAAGTGAATGACGAATTGAGTTGAATAGTTCCCGATGAGATTGGCTATTGTTTTTAATTTAGTTATTTGAAATTCAGCCTGTAACAGTACCCGTTATTTGTAATGGTCTCTATATCTTTTTTATTGTAATACTGTTTCTAAAATGTCTTTATGTAGAGCTTTTAGCGTAAAAATTTGGATGGTTCAAAAACTTTTTAGGAGAGCTAGCAGTTACACTCAGATCACGCAACTTTGAACTTCAGAATAATGCTTGACCAATCAAATAGGTTTAGTGTTGAGTTACTCTTTTGATAATTTACATAATACTGCATTTTGATGAAGTTATGCACTTGTGCTCATTGAAGCTCGCCTACTTTTCGGTTAACTAGAACACTTGCAGGAATTCTTGTGTGGCAGTGAAAAGAAATTGGCAAGCTATGGCTCTTGATAGCACAATAACTTCACCTCATCGGAGGTCACAGCCACAGACTGCATTCTCTTCTTCTTCTCCTAAGAAACAGTACTCACGAAGTGATGAACTGGGAAGCTGTTCAACTCTTTTTCTGCGACACCGGTTTCTTCTCACCGCTCTTGCCCTCCTAGCATTTCTGTGCACTATTTATCTTTACTTCGCTGTGACTCTTGGGGCTAGCGGTTCATGTTCTGAATTGACCGGAGCTCAAAAAGCCTCGTGTCACTTGCAGCAGGCAAAGGCATCTGTTGCTAAGGGAAAACTGAAATTCTTCTAGCGCATCGTGGGTCATCTACTTAAAAATTATTTGCTATATTTGGTCCTTTATTGGGATAGAACTATATTGGTTTGGAATGGCTGTAGGTTATTTTGCTCTTTGAAGAGGTTATTTATTTTTTTATGTATATTGCAAAAAGGAAATTGTTTTGAAAAACTATTTCAGCCAGTAACAGTGATTAAATGAAATTATGTGTTTCTGGGAAAATTATTTTAAAAAGAAAAGATGATATTTCTTTGGTTGTGCAGCTGTGAATTTCCTGGCTTAGGGGCAAAATCATAATTTTATTTTTTAATTACTACTAAGGTGCAGGCCTGCATGGGCGACCAGCCTGAGTGCCTAATGTCGGTCCCTGGCACGCCCTATTTTTACCTGTGCCAGTTCAGACCAAAACCGCGTTAGGCTGCCTCGAGTCTCGGCATCTGGCTGCTCAACAATTCAATCCACTTTTACATCGAATTTGATCAAAAGTATAAAAATAAGGTTCCTTGAGTAAGCTTATGTTTTTTGTTCATGTTTATGAATCTCTAGTAGCTGAAAGCTTGAAAACATAATTGTGATGTGCACATAATTAGTCAACCCCGAGGACCGTCTAACCCGAGGTGTCCAAAAAGATAAGGCACCAAGCATCACAATTCTGATAGGATTGTACTATCCACCTCTATAAATATCGGGCCACCATTCATTATTTTGGTACGTTCTTCATTGCTTTTCAGTTCATAGTCTAACATAGACATTCCTTCCTTTTAATTTAAATAATGGAGGGAATTATCATGTGAGATTTTTGATAGCATCATGTAGGAATAGGCAAAAGAAATGGAAGAATATATTGTCACAACAAAGTTTGTTACCACATTGCGAAATCGGTAGAATGAATTTTACAATATCAAAGAAGAAAAATAAACTAAAACATTATTTGCACCTGTCAAATTCAATTAACGAGACAACTTGATGATTATAATATTCTCATTCCAACGCGATTCACTTATTTACTTGGGGTTGTGTAATCTATAATATATTAAATATTGCATCATGTGAGAATAATTTTCTGGACGATTTTAGCAACGCTACAATTTTATTATTTTAATAGTACCTTACTTTTCATTTTTCAATATATATTTAATTGAATATTAATTATTAAACATGTAAGAGAACAATATGGAATTTAATTAATTTGAATCAATGAATATAGAAAAAGAATAATGTATATCCATTTAAGCAGATGGGGTGTAAGTGAACCAACATGGAATTTAATTGATTTAAATTAATGAATATGAAAAAAGAATAATTTATATACATTTAGACAAATGACGTTATATCATAAATTAAATCAATAATATTGAAATTAAATAAGTGTCCATGAATTTGAATAATTTATCTACTCTTATAATAATTGAATAGTTCCCAAATTACATGATATTTAATAATTTATATACTCTANAAAGAATAATTTATATACATTTAGACAAATGACGTTATATCATAGATTAAATAAATAATATTGAAATTAAATAAGTGTACATGAACTTGAACAAATTATATACTCATATAATAATTGAATAGCTCCCAAATTATACGACTTTAATAATTTATATAATTCTAGAATAATTTATGATAAAATAAATAATCTTGAAAATAAATATGTGTTCCTGAACTTGAATAATTTATTTACTCCTAAGATAATTGAATAGCTCCCAAAACATGTGTACATGAACTTGATGACTTAATGTTATATTTAATATATCCATAAATAAATGTTAATTAGTATATACGGACATACATAAATAATTGAATTGTAAAATTTCTATAGTAATTGAACAGCCTTCAACAAATATAAAGTGTGCATACATGAACTTGAAGAATTAATTGATTGAATTGTAATAGGATATATATAAATTAATATTAATTATTATCATATACATAAATAAATAATTGAATTGTATAAAAAATCTATTTCACGTAAACAATTTAATTATTTTTTATATTCACTGATTTTTTTGAATATGATTGTTACAACGTTTATAAATCATTTAAAATACCGTATAACACAACTTTAGATGTGACTAAAAGTTCGTGAAATTTGGTGGGTCCATGAAATGAAATAAAGAAAATATATAAAAGTTGTGAATCCAATGTGAACTCTCTTCCACTCTCGAAATTCCAATCTTTGCAGTTCTGGTTAACCATTTCTCTTCTCCGAATCTAAATCCCTATTTTGATGCTCTTTATTCCATAATCGCAACAATCAATGGCAGATTCTTTCAGATTTCAATACCGGAATAGCAACAATTTCAGATTCGACTACAAACGCTCACTCTCATTGCTTTTCCCATCCCGTTGGATCCCCCTCAGTCTCATTTGGGCCATTGGATTCATCCTAATTGTCGCGTGGCAAAGGACAGCTTTCGATCGGTTCTGGATACCCCCCCGCTCCATCCCAAGCCTTCGATCTCTGGTTTTCAATCTCACGGATTTTGGAGCAGTTGGCGATGGCGTGACGTTAAATACGAAGGCGTTTGAGAGGGCGGTTGCAGAAATTCGAAAGCGGGGTGGCGGCCAGCTTAATGTGGAGGCTGGAAGGTGGCTCACTGCTCCTTTTAACCTCACCAGCCATATGACCCTATTTCTCGCGGAAAATTCCGTTGTTCTTGGAATTGATGTAAGTATCCCTTTTCTTGTAGTACCAAATTGGACTATGTTTATACATAGTTCAGAAGGCTATTGTTGGTAAAGGGTGCAATATGGTTACGACTTACGAGTATTACCTTTTGGGGGTGGATTGCCAGTAGCTTCTTTTAACATGGAATTGGAGCGTGATAGTGAGTACTGGATAGATGAGTAGCAAGCACCATTTTTTCTTACCTGTTCGGAATTGTATTCATCTACAATACATTGCATTCCTCTGGGTTCTAATTTAAAATCTGATTAATAAAATGGTATTGCGAACTTGCTGCTTGGGAATGTTAACTCTTGACTGCCATTGCAATTACTTAGAGTTTGTTAGGATGCTCCGACTTTCCTTGACAGGGTTGTTATCTTATTGTCGCAGTTTTTATAAAGCCACTGCGTCCGTGCTTGAAATGCATGGATAATGGATGGATAAAGTCTTACCCAAAATTTGATGTCCTTTATATAGATAAAAGCTGACCTCGTCTTAAACCACATCTAGTTGACTTGTGTAATAAAAGTATGTTTACCTCACAATGCTCGTTGTAAAATTTGGTGGACTTGTTTCTCATCCACTTCTTCAAACATGGCAAAAAGAAGCAAAGAGAGAGTGAAAATGTTTGTTAGTTATCAATTTGCTAGAAAGCTATATTTCATGTGCTAAGCTTCATTTTGGGGGAATATGGATCAGTTTTCTCGAAGTGCGACTTCCTTTTTAATCAGAAATGACTCATCCTTGGAGACTGGGAGTTCATTCACATGCAGCCCCTTTTTGACAATTGCCAAATGAATCATGGAAATAGAACTCTTTTGGGAAGTCATCTCATCTTTACATTATTTGTCCTTGGTGTCTGCCTCATCTTTTAGTTAGTTTATGCCAAATAAAGTTCTGGATAAAACCTTGAAACCCTGAAAATAATCTAGTCCACTTTTTCGTAACTGAGAATCGAGAAGGCACATCTCAGGATAACCAATCCCACCTCCCCTTCCAAATGGGATGCTGTGGTGGCCAAAGATGAGCTATCCAATTTCAACTTGAAACTCTTTCCAACCCAGGATAAGGAATTTGTGCCTTAATCAGTGTAAGACATCAACTCCCTATGGATGGAACTTGATATTGTAATTAGAAGAGTAAACTCTACTTTCCCCTCTTCAACTCTCAAATTATCGAACATGCTCTCTTGTTCCTGTATAACTAAGCCTTCTTATTATTTGATTGTCTTCAACAGCCATGTGTGATTAACATTCCTACGGATTGTTATCGGAGCTAGATAGAACAGCAGTTTTAACCTTGTCTTAGAAGTGGGATGACATATTTGGAGCTGGATAAGATGGAATTCCCATTATATACTTGATTGTCTGTTCAATTAGCCAAGATTCAGGAAACTCCAGACAAACCTCATTATGCTCCCACCTGACCCTCTTGTACGTTTAACCATTATGGCCATTTTCTGTTCTATTCTCTTTGGCTACCTATCTTCTCCACTCTGTACCCTATTCTGAATCCCTAAAATTATAACCTGAATTGCAAATCTTTTTAACATGAGCATGTAAAAGTGAGCTAAATTTTGTTCAGGGAAACTACGAGGAAGTAGCTAAATTCGTATTGCTCAGTCTTGGGGAACATGGGACATTGTTGAGCTGTGTATATTTGCTCTTGAGCATTGAACTGTTATTAGCAATTTTAATAAGAAAAAGGAAGTAAAAGTTGTCTCTCTAACTTCATGTTTGCAATTGCCAATTAGATAGCTTTTCTTTGAAACTTGTAGATTCTGGTTTCATGTTTTTGACATGTTCCTATAGACATTCAAAAAGTGTCATTTTCTAAAGATGCATAAAAGAAACAAATTGTAGTTTGGAATCTTAAAATTTCTAGAAATTATTGTTTTTTCAATTTTGCTATATGAAACGATCAAATGTATTGAAACTTCTCCAAGATAATTATAGCATAAGTATGTTTTCCACAAAGAATTCATGTATTGTTGATATATGACAAGGTCCATTACATTTCATAAACCTATCTGAAAACTTCTAATAAAGCGTTTTCCCCCTCTGAACCTTAACATGACAAAACTTTGGACCATGGTGGGCATATGAACTAACAAGAACAATTTTCCATTGAAGATTGGTTCAGAGATGTTTTTTAATTTGGCAATGGTATGATGAATACCTATTTCTTTCTTCTGGACATGCTCATAGTTTTAATTGCCATAGCTTCTGTTTTCATGCTGGCTTGTTACTATGACATGTCTTGGGATTACCTGAAAGAAATATGGAGAAGCTTCTGGTGCAATGTTTTCTTGATTTTTCTTCAAAAATAACTCTGTCAAGGTTTTATATGTTAATTTTGTTGGGCTGCCAGAATAATCTGTTCTATGAGCCAACCACATTAGTGTTAATGCACTTTATTCTCTCATTGCATGACACAGGATGAAAATCATTGGCCACTGATGCCTCCTTTGCCATCATATGGATATGGAAGAGAATGTCCTGGACCACGCTACGGAAGTTTGATCCACGGTCAAAATCTGAAAGATGTTGTCATAACAGGTCAGATTATTTCGTTGACCACTCCTTCTAAATTTGGAGTTCAATCTTTTATATAGTTTTCTTTCGACAAATCAAAATTACAAAAATAACTTACTGGATTTACCAGTAGCACTTCTGAACGAGCCCATCACTACTTATATTGAGTAAATAACACCTCTTGATTGTAGAAATACTTTTCAAATGGAAGACACAGACTAATTTATTTCTTATTATATGCAATAAATTCAGCTGCTAAATCATGTGGATCAACTGATGTAATTTAAGTTTTGTCTGGGACGAACTTGCAGATTCCAATTTAGAACATAAAGTTAGAACAACAAACTAAAGCATTATAACATGTGTTTGATTATTAAATTGTTGATGAATGCTAGACACGCAGCACGCTCTCTCTATCATTCCCGTGTCTATTTGTTTATGGGATTCATCCTTCGACACAAATTTTCTCAAAAACACAAAACTTGCAACTGTAATGAATTATGTTTCCAGTTTTGTCCCCAAAAAAAGTGTATATATATTATTTTATATGGAACAAGGGTTCACAGAGATACTATTTACTTGGAAATATGAAGAAAAGAAAAAAAGAAAAGCGGAGAGGGAGACTGACATAGAACGTACCACAGAAATAGAAATAGGGAAGAGAGAGAAGAAATAGGAGATAATAGAGAAGAATTTGGGGAAGAAATAATCAATATTTAATAATTAATCGAAGTCTACAAATAATGTAAACCTAGTTGCCTTTTAATAGGGCAAAGAAGATAGAATCAAAAGAACTTCTAATAAACTAAAACCTTATCAAAATGTTAAAACTAATCTACTCTAAAATAGATATAATTCGAACCAAATTTTTCTTTCAAGTCCTAGCTAAACAATCTCTTTATTCTTATCTTCATTAGGAGAGGGCAGAGCTTACACGCATTTAGATTAAGAAGCATGTCTGGCCTGCAAAACACTGGAGGTGTAAAACTAAAGTAGGTACCATAGGAAGTTTTACGGAGGGGTAGAGTAGAGTGGATAATTTCAGTAGGAAGTTGCCCAAATAAAATGGAAGTTCACGTGGCCCAACAATTGAGAAAGAGTTCCTAGCATTCATCTAATTTCTTCTTTACAATACCTGGAAATGTTATTCATGGTTTTAACCAATTCTTCGTTTGCATGCATTAAGGGATCTTTCATTCCTACTTCTATTCATCTGTTTGTACTTTGTTAATCTAAGGTCTTCTATAGTTCATAACATTTTGGAGGCATTACAGTTGGGTTGGAAAAAAATTGTTTACAGAATAGATTTTGGAGATGTGCCTTTTGATCTATAGGAGTAGATTTATATCATAATTGAATGTTTAATAAATTTAATGCCTACCAATTTAGCCCCTACTGCAGTTTTTCTTTTGAATGGCATATTTTTCTATGTATAGTTTTAAAATTCCTTGAAGTAATCTATTGAGAACTTGTTTTGAATAACTAATCAACAGGACATAATGGTACTATCAACGGGCAAGGTAAGACATGGTGGATTAAGTATCGTAAGAAACTTCTGAACCACACACGAGGTCCACTAGTGCAGCTTATGTGGTCAAGAGACATTCAGATATCTGATATTACTTTGCGTGATTCTCCATTCTGGACGCTTCATCCTTATGACTGTCAAAATATTACTATCAGAAATATAACCATATTGGCGCCGCTGTCTGATGCTCCAAACACTGATGGAATAGATCCTGGTATGCTTGAATTTAATTATTCCGTTGACATGTATTCATGATAAGGTACGATGTTGAAAGGAAAAGAAATTCTTAAAAGAAAAAGGAATCGTTACACGTGTAAACCAATGTTTATTTATACTTGGTGATGATAGTGGAATAGACTTGGTGGTATATTTTCCATGAAGAAAGTGAAAAGCATAATATTAGATATTAGTTCATGTCTTTCATTAATTTTTTTTTTGTTTGGAGAGCGTTAGAAACATGATATTCTATTCAAGTACACCAGAATCGCATAACTATACCTGTGAGGTCATATTCAATGGTCTGTGTCCAGGTTAGCTACTGGCAAGTCATTGTCAGGGAGCCGTTTGTCAGGCAACTAGTGAGGCAGGATAAAATAGATGGCAGCAAGAAAGGAGGAAGAACCGGAGAGAAGGAGGGAGAGACTGGAGAAGAAACCAGGGAAGGGGGAGAAGTAGGGGAGGAAAACGTGGCAACAAGCCAAAACTTAATTTTCATTCATCCATCGTCTGTCTAAATTACAATGTGAAAACCAAATAAATAGTAAAAAAACCTAAACCTACTAGTATTGGGCTTGGGCCAACTCACTAATACAAGCCCAATAATAATAGAACGTAAATAATAAAAATTCCATAAAAATGATGTCCGCGTCAAATAAGACTTCAATTATAACTTAGAAAATGAACTTACAGACTTATCCATTAATAATACAGCGATGGCTGAATGAATTTTAGACTTCTCGTATAACAGAAACATATATTCATTTATTTTAGTTCTTAAAAAAAAGGGAGAATGATTCATTTTGGTTTTAAGTGGTTTTTAACTATCGCAACCTAAACCGAACCCTTTTCAAATGGCTTGGTTTGATTTTGAAATGATTAAAACCTAAACCACACGGAACCAAACAAACCGTTTCAAAATCGTGATCTTGATTCAGGTGAACGAGTTGGCAGCTTTTTTGTTCACCCCTAGATTTTACTAAAGAAGATAGAGACAATTTCAGGAGACAGTTGTATCATTACAAGTGTGATGTACTACATAACTCGCAGTTTGAGAATTTTGATTCTCTTCCTAAGTTATGTTGAATGTTGGTTGGAACGAAGAAGAAATTCTTGCATTTTCCTCTTCATTTTGGAAATGATTTGAGTTTGTTACCCTTTCCATATATGTTGCTTGTTGTTGATAAACAGCTAGCTCTTCTCATAATTTATGTACGGTATATGGACTTATATTGTAGCTGTTCGTCTCTGCAGATTCATGCGTGAATATGGTGATAGAGAACAGTTACATAAGCGTGGGTGATGATGGAATTGCTATCAAGAGTGGATGGGATCAGTATGGAATTGCTTATGCCCAGCCTTCAACCAATATTCTCATTCGTAATGTCACTGTGCGTTCAATGATAAGGTGACAGTTCTATATTGTATTCTGCTTCAGTGCATGCATATACCAGTCGATGCCATATGCATAGCCTGATCTAACAAACTGCTCTTTTGATAGAAAACCGTTTTTGAAACAAGTCTGTAATTCTGGATGTGAAATCAAATTTAGGATGGATCTATCTTAATGCTGAAAAATTAGTTTTAACTAATAAACACAGCAAAAGTATGGGCATTCCACTTGTTCTCTTGTTGACTTCCTTTCTTACCTAACAGTGCAGGAGTATCGATCGGCAGTGAAATGTCTGGTGGAGTCTCGAACGTAACGGTGGAGAATCTCCTTGTTTGGAACTCCAAACGGGGAATTAGAATCAAGACAAGCGTGGGTAGGGGTGGATATGTTCGACAAATTAGCTATCGAAACCTAACATTAGAGAACGTGCGGGTGGGTATTGTGATGAAGACTGATTACAACGAGCATCCAGATGAAGGCTATAATCCCAATGCCCTTCCAGTCATTGAGGACATAAGCTTTAATGGGATTCGTGGACAGGGGGTTCGTATTCCAGTCCGTATATATGGCAGCCAAGAAATTCCTGTACGGAATGTCACATTCCAAGACATGCTAGTGGGAATAACCTACAAGAAGAAGCGAATTTTCCAGTGCTCTTTTGTCCAAGGACGCGTGATTGGAAAGATTTTCCCCAAGCCTTGTGAGAATCTCGATTTGTATGATGAAGAAGGACGTCTAGTTAAGAAATCAATGTCTCAAAATAGTAGTACCGACACAATAGACTATGATTCTTGAGAAGTGAAGTTGTTGGGACTTGAATCTAAATTTTCCCTGCTGTCAATCTCTCTGAGAAAGATCATCTGCTTCAACAACTTGGGGGTTGGATGTTCCAAACTGCTAAACTTCAACAGCTCGGAGGTTTGATGGAGCAAATTATTGAGCTCGACTCTTGTGAAGTGATAAAGAAAGGGGAATTTACTAGTTGTTTAATTGCAAGAAGATGCTCATTCGTGATGAAGCGATACCGCATTCCTCTCTGTGATACGAGACCTGGCACCAAGTGTTTAAAAGAGAAAGACCGTGCAATCAGTTAAGAACTGATATTAGTGGTACTTGTGTTGTGTGAATTAAGAATTTGGGTTTATGGAGTGAATAAGCAGAAACTGATGATTGCAAATTACTACTGTTGATATTAGTGGTACTTGTGTTTTGTAAATTAAGAATTTGGTTTTATGGAGTGAATAAGCAGAAACTGATGATTGCAAATTACTCTTGTGAAAAACCTGATGAATTTATTTATTTAGTTTTTGTCCATGTTGTTAGGATCCCAGTTATAAAAATCAACCTATACAAGGCAGTGGGTCATAGGTCACCAGTTCGACCCCTGACCCAGGCAGTTGAATCGGTGGGTCAATTTCGATTTTATATACCCTTAATTATTTTTGTGGAAATTACCCTTTATCCCTCTTCTATTAAAAGAGGGAATCCTTAGTTTACTATTCATTCAGGACGTATTTCATATTCCCATTTTATCCCTCTTCCATACATCCCTCAGAAGTCAACAAATGTAGGCGGCCATACCTCTATCATAAGAAACAAAAAATGTAGGCGGTGATCCATCTTCTTGAGAAACAAAATTCAGGGGGGAAAATTATATTGAAAATAAAGATTTGGTCAAACATGTAGGCGGTGAAAGGCGGTGGCTATATTTTCCTTTGTGAAAGGCGGTGGTTGTATTTTTCATAGGCAACAAACGGGGGCTATATATAGTAATTGCAAATGTCATTTTTTTCCTAAACAAAAATTGCTTGTTCAGACCATTGTGATTATTTTGATTACAAAGCAAACATAATTTTG